CGAAATAATTTTTTTTTGAGTCTGTTGGAACATCAAAAGTGTATCACAGAAAAAACCTGAATTCAAATTGAGTATAGATTCTATACTCAATTTGATTCGCAACAAAAATGAAACTGGTTGTCTCATTTCGAGTTCTAAGGTAAAAGTATCAAAATGAAACAGGCAAGTTTCATTTTGAGAAAAAGAAAAATGGAAAAATATTGTGAAATAACGAATAATTTTGCACAAAAACATGAAATATAATAATTACAAAGAAGTAAATAACACGCTAGACTTAATATATTTGATTAAAAATTGCTTGTAATCGCGTAATAAAATAATAAAGGAAATATGTTTTTAGGTTAGAAAAATGAAAACATGTGTTTTGACAACAGGAACGGTACTGCCAACTTAAATAATAGCGGTAAATTTAAAAACTTATGAAATTAATTATTATCTACGTAAATAATAATAAATAATTTTTATTTAAAAACTTCTAAATATTCGTACTGGTCAAAATAATCTTTCTGGTGTTGTTGAAATATTAGAAACAATAATTGAAATACAAAATTACTCTGCTTATGATGCCAACTTAGAAATCTGAAATTCCAGCCAATATCATTTTGAATAACATGAAGTTTGTCCCATACTCATTTCGATACCCAAAAGAAAATGAGTTGCAACAAAAATGAGTCCAAGTTTTTTCTGTGTAAGACATCGTTAAAAGAAGAGTAAATATTTTATACATAAATATTTTACTTCATTCAATGTATTTTCATGTTCGTTTGGATGTATAGAAAAAGTACGTATAATTGAAAATTACCGATAAAACATGTGATACTACTAATAACGTGTTAAAAGTTCTAAAAAGCACTTGAAGACAGCCAGGGGACGTTACATTTCACACTTCAATCTACTTTCACATCTTATGAACTAAATATTTGCAATTTCTGAAAATAGAAATGAGTAAATATACTATTATTTAACATGTATCACCATTATTAGCAACATAAACATTTTTTTTTTCATTAAATAATTACAGAAGACTCGAATTTACGCGTTCATTGAAAATGACCCCTATAATAGTCGAGAAATGCGAAAAAGGAAATACATACCAATTAATTCCGAGAAATCAAATTTTGAGAATGGTTGTGAATCAATAAGAGGATCAATTTTGTAATGAATGGAGGTTATGTAATGATTTTTAATTAAAATTCTTTTTGTTATTAAAAATTAGAATATACCTGTTGGTATTATTTAGGAGTTTTTATACAAAAGTTACTGAAGTTCAAATTAATAGTAAGTAAAGAAAAAATTATGAAAAGTTTAAGAAAATTATTCATATATTGTAAATGAATTTTTGATCCATTTTAGTTGAATCACAAACATTAAGTGACGAAGACATAATAGAATTCATATGACATGCGTGAAGGAAGGTTGGAAGAATTGTGTGTGAGGCGCTAGAACCAACTTGAACAAAACGTTTGAAAACAGAAGCTAGCTTTTGCAAATCTTCAGTTTTCTGCAAATTTCTTTTTCTGTAGGATAGGACCCAGAATGCTTTATATTTTCTGACATCTTATTACGAAACAGTTCTTTTAAAAATATCAATAAACAAAATCAATACTTGAAACAATTCGAATTCTATTAACTGTCAACGATGTCAACAGTCATTTTAGGTTGGAATCCAATAATGTATTTCAGGGTTGCGTAGCATTAATAAATTCAGAAGTTAAAGTCAGGGTGCGGACACAATTTGCATCGGTTGGTTTCCATTGTCTCCACTTGCCATTTGTCATCATTCTCGTCAACTACCGCATTCTGCTCTAGTGAAAATTTAGTGACTTTAATGTTAAAATTAAAAGGGTCTACAAAGTTACTAAATTTTCACAAGAGCAGGATGCGGTAGTTGACGAGAATTATTACAAACGGCGAGTGGAGAAGAAAAATTAGAAAAGCTGCTGAAAAAATGTAAAAAAAATTGTTGCATTATGAAAATTTTGACGCCCCAATTAATTGTTTTATCAGCAAAAATTTGATATTAATTTCCCGCGATTATGCTAGAAAAACAATATCTTCTAGATATATTAAATATAATAATAACTGATATAAATCTCGCAGAGGAAGCAAAATTTTATCTAAAGCAAATAATAAAAAATTGAAGAAATCATCAACTCATAAAAATAATATAGCAGAAAATTTTCAAAGACAGAAATTTAACAGACCAATTATGAAATATATTGTTTTTTTTTAGGGAAAAAAAAAGATGCGAATAAGTGAAAATTAGACTTCATTTGTTTGAATGTTTGCAATATGAATGAAAGAAAGGAAAGAAAGAATAAGAAATGCGGGAATCGCACTCACTAAAGAGGCCCCGAGGTCTCAGAGAGGAAGTAACAGTATCCGAATGGATGGATTCCGGGCGAGGTGTGCGCGCAGGGTCTTGTTGGATTGTGTGCAGAATGAACGCAAACTGTGAGGGTAATTTGCAACACCGGCAATTTACATAATTAGCAGTTCTGAACTCGCGGCCCCCGGCCTCTCTCTTTCTCTCTTTATTCTCTCCTGCTTTATCTCTCTTTCGATCCCATCCCATCGACGCAACCCGACGCGCCTCTCTCCTGCTTCATCCACCCATTGGCATAGAGATTTTTTTAACTCTTCCCCTGGGCGACGATATTTTTTTTTTTTTTTGAAAGGAAAAAAAAAACTTTTATAACTGGTTTACAAAAATGCTTTCGATTCTTACCCGAAAGAAAACAATTGTTTTTAATAAATATCTATTTTTTTGTAATATAATTTTGATAAATTAAGGAAAAAATGTTTTTATTATATAATTAGTTAATTACAGTTGATGATTAATTATTTTATAATGCAAAATGTTTGAGTCTAGTAAATTTTAGTATTTTTTTTTTGTCTTTTTTTTGTTAATTTGTTTTTCGAAACATTATTCTTTTTCGTATTATCCTTTTTCAAGACTTAACCTTCTTCCGGCGAGGGTTAATGAAGTCCGAAGTTACTTTTCCATAAGTCTTCTTTTGTACCTTTCCCATAACTTTACCTTGATTCGTTCATAATTCAATTTATCTCGTTATCAGTGTTTCGTTCCGCTTGTCAGTTGCAAATTTCAAGGAACACGTCGTTATATTATATATTCTTTAAAAAAAAAAAGAAATTTATAAAATGATACGTTGATTATTAGGAAAATAATCATAAACTTTTCATTATTGCGTCAAAATCTTTAGATACAAATTAAAATATTTATTTAATTATTACTATTTGTATATTATAAATAATAATATATGAAAGAGTTTGAGATAATAATATATTTATAAAACAGGAAATATATAGTTTGTAAAGAGTAATGAATATAAAAAGTCTCACACACGCTTTATATATAATTGTGGGTCTCTCTCTCTCTCTCTCTCTCTCTCTCTCTCTCTCTCTCTCTCTCTCTCTCTCTCTCTATTTTAATGGAGTTTATAAAATTAATTGAGCTTCTTTGGGAAAAACGACAGCATCACGTTTGCAATGAAAATAAATTGCATAGCCTCAAGTTATTGTATAAACATACCTTTTGGACAATGCAAAACTATTATTAATAGACTTCAAAAAAAAAATTTTATTTGTCCTTTCACTATAAACGTGTCATGTTTATCACACTATGATAATAATTAATTTTGTTCATTCGCAATTTCTGTTCTAATTAATTTATTCATTATATTATACGCACAAGGTGATTATGTTGCATAATCATAAAATTATACATAAAAAATTCAGCTCACGATTTTTTGCAAATTTTTGTTTCGTATTGATAATTTATTTGCCGCATCAGTGAAAATATTTTAAGCGTTTTAAATTACTGCTGAAGATTTTGTTTTAATATAGTTTACAAACTATATATTATAATTAGTAAATAGGTGACAAAATAAACTCTCTTAATGTCGTTAAATTTAATTTTCACTTTACTTCCATTTACCATTTATGGTAAAATAAAAAAAAAATAGTTGATTCTAAGAAATTTAAAAAAGTAATAAATTTCTGATTTAATTTTTACTTACAGCTATACATTAAATATAAATAAATTATAAATAAATAATATAATAAATAAATAAATAATTTTTTCTCCAGTAAATGAATGAAATTTTCAATAATAAATTTAATGAAAATTAAATTAATGAATGAATTAAACTTGTGTGTAAATATATATATATATATTTGTAACTTTAGATTTGTCTGTTTTAAAGAGTGAGATTCAAGGCCGTCAAGAATTGCGAAATTCGAATAGGCACGCTATCCTTTTAGACACGAGATGCTTAATTACGAACAGGGAGTATCCACGATCATCCTGCTGTAATTACTTCAGCGATTATCAGCTGCGATCACTCCTGACGATCACTAAATGAACTTTTAAAAACCTACTGGACCGTTACTGTACACAAGAAAAACAAAAAAAAATTTACTAAAAAAAAGTCATTTTTAATTAAAATTTATAAAATTAATTTTCTAAATAAAATTTAATTAAAAAATTGAATTGAATTTTTAAAAAAATTCGATTTTTCATTAATTTTCCCCAGCAATGACAATGAACTTCTCTTTTAATAAGAATAATCGAAATTATTCAATCGATATTACATAAAGTGTTATACAAACAAAATTTTGACCTTAAAAAAAATTAACCTAATTACCATTTTGTTGAATGTTATTAAAATTGTTTACTATATGAGTAATAATGATGATGATAATGACGTTGATGATTGAAATTAAAACGCATAAATGTTAATAATCTTATTTTTCAATCATATAAAGACGAAAAAGTTTCCTTTAGTGAGATATATATGTACTATTGAAATGATAAGCAATTATATTAACACGAAATGTAAATAAATTTGACGACAAAGCATATTACACGTATGAAAAAAAAAATGTAACATTGTTGAAAGTAAAGAAAAACACTTGAATCAATATATAAATATACGTGTATATGCATGTGGGAAATAAATGAAAAAAAAACAACACAATTATCATTGGAGAGGTTGATATAATTTATTTCGCTCTATCATTAGAACACGAACTGAGTCTCTTGATATTATCGTACAGTTGTATGTCTCGAGTACGTCGAGAGAAATCACAATTTCTTATTTACATATTATTTACAAGCACAAAAGCCGCTTGTCCGAAAGCGCTACTTGCGAAAGTCTTGACCCTTATGGTCATTTCTTTTTTTTTTTTTTTTTTTTTTATTATTATTATTTTTTCCTCTGAACACTTACCAAGTATTCTAATAGATTTTAACATTCGTTACTTGTGATTATACATTTTTTTTCACAATCACATTACAGAAATTTTTTTTTTCTCTATATAGCTACTCAATAAATAGCTATATATAATAATAATAAATACATAAATAAAAATTATTTTCCATACAAAACATGTAAGAGATTTAAATTAAAACAACTGTTTTATACATATATTAAAGCATTATAATTATCTAATAATTTCATTTGTGGATTTTTAAAAAATAATAATCTTAATGAATTAGAAAATAAGACATTCTACTTTCGCAGGTCGCAGATTCGAAGTCGACTTTTTCGAATAATTTAATAAAATTGTCAGTACAATTCGAACATCGATTTTTATTGACAAAAAGGAATACTGCTCGCCGAGAACATCGACTTAAATATATATTTATATGTATATTGTAAATACATCGCGTTACACTGGGTTTAAAATATCAAGTTTGGCACTCAATGCTTTATATATATATATATATTTATACGAAATCCTAATCATTCTTTCTCTTTTGTTCCTGGTATTATATTTACAAATGGACATGACGATACTTATACATGATTCATTCGCGTAACTGGCGCGTTTTTTAATGTCTATTATATATATATATATATATTTATATGTACAGGTACCTATGTCTGTACTCGGATTTTTTTTCATGGCGAGTTACATATGGCAAGATATATGTACATATATATGTTTGTATTTAATTACACAAACCAATCGTTGAATGCGTCCTAATCTTTGGAAGCAAATAAATCATTCCAATAATTTCAGTCAAATATGCGTTCACACTCATTCGCGGATCAAATTTTTGCACAAGAAATATGTTCCTAAAATTATCTTATTGACTTTTTTTTTTCTTTTTTTTTGAAAATTAACCTCCGATACATTAGCGAATAATAATTAATTCACGGAGAATGCGAATTTTTTTTCGCATTAATTCATTTTTTTTGTGAAATTCATTCCCTTTTTCTGATTTCACAACGGAAATGGGTATATCATTTCGTTTATTGAGTGTCTGACTATACTTTGGCAGACAATATACAATCCATTAAGCGACATCCGATGCACGCGGAAAAACTTCATCAAGTATATATAATATAGAAAAACGTACATTGCGTTTTCAATATATTTTTTTAAATCGATGAAGATTTTTTTTTTTTTTTAATAGTCTTTTTGCTCTAGTTTCTGGATTTTTAATCCAGACATAGAACGTCCAGCTACGCTTCAGAACCACTCGAACATTCATCAGCTTCCGGATCTATATGCTCCTCTTCATCATCCTCTGGATGATAGTCACCCGTTTCCTGTTGCCATTTGCTCACATGATGAGTATTTTTATTACCATTATTATTACCATTTCCTCCCGATTGCTGTTGTGCTTTTGCCTCTTCCTCCTGCTGCATTCTTTTGTGCTTCGTTCGTCGATTTTGAAACCATACCTTCACCTGTAATCATAAAAAAACAAAAAAACATTTTTAGAGATATTTTTTTTTGTGTAATTATTATTACTATTTCTAAATATATATTAAAGAAACATGTTGAAAGACAGGATAAGTAGTGACAGTATTTATCTTGTTATATATATATGCTCTCTAAACCATCGCCATTTTCTTCAACCCCAGTTGCATTTTTGTACCCTCGATCAATTCCCCTTTATGATGTGTGTACCAATCCGGTTTTGATGTGCTCGATTTCCCCCCCCCCCCCCATCTCTAACTATAAAGTTTGGGGTCACCAAATTAAGTGGCAACTAGTTAAAGCTTCCCTTCTGATCGCAAACGTTTCAGAAACCCAAAGTGGGGGATCAATCCCTAAAACTAGTATCCGGTTACAATGGATTGTCCCATTTGAATCGGAAAGGATGAGAGTCCATTCTCTCTACTCTCCCCTTTCCATTGTCAGCGAATTGACTACTGAACACTGTCCGTCGGTGTGTGAACACACACAGACTTTGTGAAAGGGTGACAAAAAAAAAGCACAAGAACAGGGGTTTATTTTATAAGTATCAATGTAGAATATCACCATTGTCCTCCGTTACGCTTAGAAGTCTATAGATTAAGGGTTCGTTTTTGATCAAATTTCACGTTTCTCTAAACCTTATATATATATATATATATGATCAAAGTTGGTTTTGACAAGCTTTGGGATTAGCGTCTTTCGTATATATTCATGCTATTGAAAACTTTGATATTTGGAAAATTGGGACTCCTAATACCCTTTTTTTTTCATTGAAAAGCTTTAATTTTTGTTATGACTGTCGATGACGGTAAATATTTTTTCTTCGTCATAAAAAAAACTAACTACTTTCCGCAAAACTGATTTAATAAAATAATTAAATGATAATCAATGCTGTGTGTGAGTCTTTACATACATTGTATTTAATTACTTGTTTAATATATCATAAAGTAATATGGATTTTTTTTGCCGCATTTAATAAAAACGACGTTTCATGATCATTAAGAATCTTAGAGAACACATCATTTTCTTATTAACTTACATAATTTTATAATAGTATTACTGTTTTTGTCAAATATAATGCACTTAATTTTTTTTTCTCTATATAGTAATTTACGTATAAAGTATCGTCATTAATTACATTATGAAATATTAATGAATTTGGTTAATTACAATGTATAAGATGGAACTATATTTTATAGATAAAATTGCTTTAAAAAAATTATATAAAATTATAAGTATATGTAAATAGAAATTAAAAAATGAGTAATAAAATTATAAACAGAGATTAATTAGAATAAGAAAAATGGTAGAAAAAAAATGAAAAGTTTAATTCGTTTTTTCTTGATATTTGTATCATTAAAAACAAGATTTGAAATTGAATTAATTGAATCCAATTAAATTCAATCGTTTGAGAAGCATCCAAACAATAATTTCGAAATGGAAAAATTGGCAAACATTAAATCAATCTTGTAAACGAATGATCATACACACGTGTTATCGCAATTGATCGGATATGTTTGTGTATGTATGTATATATATATATATATATATAGTTTGGAACTTCCCCCTTTGGAAAAGCAGGGCACTTATCGGGTGATTAAGAGGACAAATAGGACAACCCCTTTTTAGTGAGAGTATTATCATTTCGCAATATAAACCCACCCCAAAGTCGTCGTTATGTCCCTACCCCAAAAACCGTTGCACTAGGAAATTCCGCTTCGTTTAATCGAGTTACCCCATTTGGTAATCACCCTCTGTGTTCCGCAGGGTTGCTATGGAGACGTCGCAATGTCCTGCTCTCCGATTGGCTCGCTGCTCCATTCCCGGATGCTGCAGCCATCCCCGACATTGCGAGAATATACTCATGATCACTCCATACTCCTCTCTTGAATTTATATATATATATACACACAGAATCCTCATATCGCCATGCAATAGGGGCTGTGAACGCGTGGAGAGCAATGTACGTTTTTTTCCATTTTTTTTTCTTTCTTTTTTTTTTATTTATTTCGAAATAGCATGTCATTGTATAAACAGCGCAAAGAGAGGGCGAGTAAAAAATCAATACCAACGAAACAAGAAAGTGCGAATTGAATTTTATCATGCAGACACCCAAGTAAATAAAAATCTTTTTTCAAAACATTGTTATATACTCAAGAGTTTTTGGGGTCGCTAAATTCGAATTTGATGTTAGTTTTTCAAAATTCAAAATGGCGGTTCCAATATGGTGAATAGTAAAATTAAAAATCAATAGAATTTATTTATAAGATTCGTTATCATCGGCCATATTGGTTCAGCCATTTTAAATTTTGAAAAACTAATATCATGCCAGATTCGTAATCAGCGACCTCGAAAATCTAAGTGTACGCACAGTTTTAAAAATGTTGGTGGTATAAAAGTTTCTTAACAATTTGGACCGACATTTAATATATATAGATTTTTCTCCTCACAGCGAAGGTGTTAAAAAATATAATTCATTGGTCATGCCAGAAGAATTTCACTCATTTTAATAATTAGAAACAATTTTGCATGATTAAAATGTTAATTATGCTTCGGATTGAAAAAAAAAAATTATCGTTTTCGGAATTAAAAACATATTAAACGAAACGTATAGTTACAAATTCTCAAAATACTGAAATTTTAGTTATACAATAAAAAAACCTGCGAAGTAGAATATTTACTAAATCACGGCAATCACATGACCTTAACATAAAGCAACCTCTTTAGAATTATAAAATCTCTTTTAACGTAATCCTTAATTTTTTTCTATAAAAATAATGTTTTATTAAATAAATTCAACGCGCGAAAATCGATTAATTTCCCCTTAAAAGATAATAGAAATCGATATAATGAATTATATATATAAAATTCTAATATATAAAATATATAATCGTGAACCAATCCTAAAATATATATAATCTTCGATCGAAATTGAGTTGAACATGAAAGGAGATAAAATCCAGGATTCGTTAATTTAAAACTCATGGGAGTTTTCGCGCCTCAAGTGTATATATATATATATATCGTTTCGGGATATAATCAGCATGCTAGAGTCGCGACTATAGAGAAAGAGAGAAGAAACTGTGTATTGCGATGAGAACGAGCGCGCAAAATCGCAAGAAGCGATCGCACAGGTGAGATAATGAGCTCTCGGGGCAGGCAGCAGGTTGATACCTATGTGGGTATATATCTGCCTCGTTCAGTCAAAGCGGCACGTACGAAAGTCCACTGTACGCAAATGGAGTTACACATAAATAGGTAGGTAATTGAAGCTGCTTCTGGAACGCGTAAGTGACAGGTGACCGCCATATACGTAAACGGTGTGACAGTTGTACACATTTTCTATATATCCACTTTACATTGGCCTCTCTCGCTATGTGCCACACTATGCCTATATATATATATACACCTGCATATATATACCTACTATATAATAACTATTTTTAAACACGCGCAAACCCTTCCATCAATATACACCTCTCTCGTGCAACAAATACGGAATCAGACAACCGCAAGAGTGTGAGACCATTTGTTTCCAGCGAGTCAAAAAAAAGAACAAATCCAATTTAATCAATTAAAATTTTTTATATATACAGTTTTTCTCAATGCAATGGCAAATTCCACGTGAAAGTTGACTCTTTAATTAAGAGATACAATTTCCAGGAAGATAAATTAACATTGCAAAATAACTAAAGGAATTTCGCTTGAAATGAAAGTTCGTAAGACAAAAAATTGGGTTTATTATATATACTAAAATTCCTATTTTGAAAATAACTCGTCAGATTTTAAAATAATTTGAAATATTTCAATTCAAATATATATATATATATATATTATTTGTACTATTGCTCGCGTAATTAGAATACATATTAATTAATAATCCAGATTAATTGATTCTATATATATATTTATATGATTGCCGATGCACATCAGGATATATGCCATATACCTCTCGACACAACAACCGTTTCATTATTCATTTATACGCTATTTAACTTCTATGTATTCATTGCAGCAACGTGCTTCAGATTTTAATATATACATCCGATACTCATTATGTAAAACCATTGTGTTGATTTGTCATTGATTCCTATACTTATCAAGTGATTTAAAATAGAAAATTAATAAATTATACACGAAAACATTAGCGCCAGAATTATATATATTTATTTATAAAATATTGATAGAGGCGGAAATTGACATTCATAAAAAAAAATGAAACACGTATTTGCATTATTTAGAAATTAAAAACAAATTAAAATGTCAAACTTTAAGAAGAATAATAATAAAATATTTATAATAATTTTTCAGTGATACAAATTTTTAATATGATACTGTCACTAATTCTTTATCAATTTATTTATAATTTAGAAATAGTATATAAAAATAGTTAACTACTAAATATTCAATGCTGTGGAAAAACTATTTTTAAAATTTTATTTATTTCCGTTTAAAATTTATATATAAATATATAAAAAAAATACTAAAATAATCAAATTATTATAACAAAATGTAATAAAAACTTTTCGAATCAATCCATTTTATTCTGAAACTAAAATTTTAATTCTTTACAATCCTATATATTTCCTTTCCGAATAAATTCGTCTTATTCCGAAACTAAAAATTAATCCTTTTAAATTCTAAAATTTCATTCCGATTATTTTGGAAACAGATTGATGCGGATTTATAAATTTCATATATAATTTAAATGGAATAAAATTTGGCATCGAATTGATTCAGAATGAAATTTTGGGATATATTTTTTCACAAAGTAAAAAAAATAGAAACATGTAAATAACAGGAAAATTCAATGTTAATTTTTTTTATAAACTAATAAAAAATAGTAGTGAGAAAGAAAAAAAATTTTGGAACTGAAATTTCAGACCAATGAAAAGTCATATATATACAAAAGGGTGGTGTTTAATCCCCTCGATATGCACCGGTCACGCTCGAAACATTATTTTTAACCCCCCCCCCTTATATAACG